CTCTCTCCCTCAAAATAAATAAACATGTAAAAAAAACCACTAGAGTTTATTATTTTTTTATTGTAATTCATTGGTGGGGGAGGGGCAGAGAGAGTGGGAGACAGAGGATCTGAAGCAGGCTCCGTGCTGACAGCAGAGAACCCAAAGCAGGGCTGGAACTCACAAACTGGGAGACCATCACCTGAGCTGAAGCCGGACATTCAACCAACTAAGCCACCCAGGCGCCCGAAAAAAACACTAGAGTTTAGATGACACACAAGGTTACATTAGTTTCAAGTGTACAATTTAGTGATTTGACAACTCTGTATATTCTGTTATGGGAGCCAAAACTTGTGGTGACTTTTTTAAATTAAGTAAACTTTATACCCAACATGGGGCTTGAACACATAACCCTGAGATCAAGAGTTGCATACCCCACTGACTGAACCATCCAGGTGCCTTGTGGTGACTTTTAAGTGATAAGCACTTAGGAATCTATCTAGGTGGCTATTAAAATTAAAGGGTTTTGGGGCACCCAGGTGGCTCAGTTGGTTAAGTGTCAAACTCTTGATTTTGGCTCAGGTCATGATCTCATGGTTTGTGAATCAAGCCCCGTGTCAGGCTCTGTGCTGACAGCATGGAGCCTGCTTGGGATTCTCTCTCTCTCTCACTCTCTCTCTGCTCCTTGCCCACTCGGGCATACTCTCAATTTCTCTCTCCCAAAATAAATAAATAAACTTTAAGAACATTAATTAAAATTAAAGGGTTTTTCTGAAGGGACATGGCATCAGATTTGTGCTCTAGAAAAATAACTCACTATAGTCTGAAAAATGGGTTGTAGGTACATTGTGCTTTTATAATGTGTCAATCTGACTGAAGGGAACTAACTACATTTACACGGATCCCCTTCCCCGTGTGGTTCCCAGTTAGTCTTAGCTAAGAAAGAGGCTCGCGCCAGACTGCAAGGTGGAAATGAAGCAGCGGCCATGAGGCTGTGGGTCAGATGCAGGACAGCCTCACTCACCCTTGTTGTCTCCCACTAGGCCACCAGCCCTCTTCCTGGGAGCAGGTGCTGCTGGCCAGTCCGCGTTCACTAACACAGGCAGCACCAGCCTCCCACAGATAGCACCAGCTCTCTTTCCTGAGCCTGGTGCAGGTGCCTGGGTTCCCAGACTCCCAGGTAAATTCCCATTATCTACCCAGACCAGGGCTTCAGAAGGGTGCCTTAGTGACTCTTCTCTGATCCTCCAACTTTTCCTGACAGACTCTTACTTCTCTTCTTCTATAATGAAGTTCTTATTCCCATAAGAAAATCCTTTACCGCACAACTCTAGTGGGTTTGCTTCTCTGATTGAACCCTGTGTAACACACTGGGTGAAGGTAAAGGAGAACATGAAAGCAGCAAGGTGTTTTACCTGCACGGTGTGAAAATAACATCTGGCACAAAAGAGATTATGAAAAAATATGGAATGGATAGGATGGATGGATGGCCAACCGGTTAACATCATAAGACAGGGATCCTTCCTTTTACATATACTGTTGGTGTTGTTTTTTGATTCAGAAACAACAACAAAAAATACTAGGCCCATTTACACCTTTCACATTAGTTCTAAACCATGCTACTGTATACTGAAAGCTATCAGGATTATATTCCACAATATATCAACTTAAACTCTGAAAATTACTCCCTATTTCTCTTTAATGTCTACACATTCTATGTAATACAACTTTTTCAAATTAGTTTTTCCTTCCTGCATCCACTTCTGATTCTTTTCATTTCTATGACAGCATGACATACAACCACATTACTGGAGTTTCTCTATTGAATGCAAACCATCTGATTTCCCAACGAAGAACACTTTATTATTTCCACATTTACTTGTTTAATTCTTTTTTTTTTTCAACTTTTTTTTTTTAATTTATTTTTGGGACAGAGAGAGACAGAGCATGAACGGGGGAGGGGCAGAGAGAGAGGGAGACACAGAATCGGAAACAGGCTCCAGGCTCTGAGCCATCAGCCCAGAGCCCGACGCGGGGCTCGAACTCACGGACCGCGAGATCGTGACCTGGCTGAAGTCGGACGCTTAACCGACTGCGCCACCCAGGAGCCCCTACTTGTTTAATTCTTATCTGATTCTCCTGTAGGTTTTTCCTTTGCTTCTTCTAAATTCCAGGCAGGTAACTGATACTTATTATGTCTCATTTTATTTTTTAAAAAATTTTTAATGTTTATTTATTTGAGAGCAAGTGAGCAAATGGGGGAGGGGCAGAGGGAAAGGGAGAGGGAAAAAGAGAATCCCAAGCAAGCTTGCTTAGTGTAAAGCCCAATGCAGGGCTCGATCCCACAACCCTGGGATCATGACCTGAGCCAAAATCAAGAGTCGGACACTCAACCAACTAAGCCACCCAGGCACCCCGATTATGTCTTATTTTAATCCTTAGAGTCATTACCATTCCCCTAAAGTTGTCTAAGCCATTCAGTGTTCTACAGATTTCCCACCTCCCTTAGATGAGAGTCCTACGACTTTCAGGGCTCAATTACCAGGCCCTAATACTTCATAAGTGCTCAATAAAAATCTCTTGATTTGGTAAGTAAATGTATTGTTCTCTTAGGAATTCCTCAATAGCAACTTAGTTCTGTTCATTATGCATTTAGATCTTTTAAGGAGATGTGGTATTACTCTATTCAGCAATTTGAATTAATTATTTGGAGAAATTAAGGTGAGTTTTTTTTCCTTAATTTTATAATAATAACTAAGTCAAACATGAGACATAAAATGCATTTCAAGTTCAGTTCTTTGTAAGTAGGTGATTAACTGATGAAATGAACAGGCCTTAGCTTGACATAATTTCAGCAGCATGAGAACTACCTTAGGCTGTTCCCTGCTTACATACCTTGAATTGCTTTCCACATGTGGAACACAGGAAATCTTTGCGGTCCGAATGTCGGAGCATGTGGAGACGCAGTTTGTCAGGACGACAGAAGGCCTTGTCGCACTCTGTACACTGGTAGATCTTTTCCGAGTGGAAGCTTCGCACGTGTTTTTTCACCTGGCAGTTAGAAGACACGAAAAAGTCAGAGGACTCAAGCACCAAATGAAATGGCAAAAGGTGGCTTATCAACACTAGAGGGAGCCAAACGCATTACCATGGATTTTCATCAACCTGGCGGTATAATCCAATCAGATGTGATTGATAATTGGCCTCAATCACACATAGTATCCCTGTCACAAAGAAACAGAACAAGTAGCCAGAAAGCCTTACAAATCTTAACCTGAATTTGAAGAAGAGGAAGAAAGAGTACTTGCTTAGTCAAAGCCCCGATCACATAAGACCCATTTTTCCTTCTCTCTCTTTAAGATTAAAAGCAAGCAGAGTTCCTTTGGATTTAAATGAATCTTGCTAAAAATTATCTGCAGAAAGATAAAGAAATAATTCTTTCTCACTTTTTCCTGCCTCCAACATGTACAGAAGCAATTTAGCCCCTTTTAGTAATTGGTCCTTTTACATCTTTCTATTAAATCACGTTCTGAAGAATAAAGACATGAATTGGATGACATAAAATATATTATGCATTTATGAGAAAAATACAATCATCAGCATCATTTCTCCTTGAGACTTATTCCCTACACTTTTAGATAACTTAAATAAAGGAATATGACCTCTGAACTCTCTTAGCCATAAATATCCAATGAAGGAGAGTTGTGAATGAGAGCTAAGTAGTCATATCAAGGTATTTCTGTAAGACATTTTGCTTCGTTGTTTTTGAGTCTCTTTTGCCATTAGATTCTGCCTTAAGCCACTTGCTAATTGCTTGTGTGAAGTGATAAAATTACCAAGAGTCCCAACACTAATAAAACTATGATCTTTTATTTGGGTAATTTTTTTTAAAAGAGAATATTTTTCATTAGATATTTATATTTAATTACTCATTGACTAGCATAGAACTAGCATATCATCACTTGAAGTCCAAATGAAATCATGAATATTCTGGAATTTATCCTCACCTATTTTGCTCCAGACTATAGTCCAAGGAAGGAGGTCAGTGCTTGACACAAAAGTATATTATATACCAACTTTCTCTTTGTTTCCTTCCAAAATGCATGACCTTAGTAAAGCAAGACAGGATACCACAGTAGTAGAGAGAAAATGTTTCCAGGCCAGGAAATGGGAGTATGTCTTCCACAGGCTCTCTATATTTTATGAGTAGAGGGTACTGGCAAAGATTAAGAAAGACTTTGTAAAAATTATAATCAGATCTGGGTATTTGTTACTTGTAATAAAACTTAAATGTTTAAATGCCAATGTCTGATTTGGACAATTGAGGGTCATAATAATCTTTTGTTTATCAAAAGCAGCTTGATTGAAGAAATACCGTTCTCAACCGTAAAGTTCAAAGAAGGGATGAAAATGCAGGCGACAGGCAGTCTCAATTTCCCAAACATCGAAGTGTCTCTTACCAAAGAAGAAAGTGTACAGGAATCTCAGGAGTAGACACTCACCTGGATAAAATCTGGGAATCGTTTCTTACAGGTTGGGCAGGTGAAGCAGCCATCATTGATATGAATGGCCACATGATCCTTCAACAAATCAAGGCGGTCAAAGGATTCTGGGCAAAAAATGCAAGAATAAGTCTTCTGATCTGAATGGAGCTTCATGTGGCTCTCCAAGGACGCACTGCTGATGAAGCCCTTGTTACAGAGATCACAGGTCAGCGGGCAGTTCCCCTCCCGCCCATGGAAGCGCAAATGTTGGTCCAGTTTGTCCTTTTCACGGAAGGCCTTCCCACATTGCAAACACTTAAAAGGCCGGAAGGACTTCCGGATAAACAGATGCTGAAGAGCTGCATTCTGAAAGACACACACAAATACGATTATTTAGTGAGGAAATCAAGTGCAGAAGCAGCTCACACCTTTATAGACAAGTAGGATGATCTCTGCAGTCAGACTTTCCATAGAAATTCAACTCTGGGACACACAGTTGAAAGAAGTCTTTCAGGGGCGCCTGGGTGGCTCAGTCAGTTAAGCGTCAGACTCTTGATTTCAGCTCAGGTCATGATCTCAGGGTTCATGGGATCGAGATCTCAGGGTTCAGGGTTCATCAGGCTCTATGGTAACAGCATGGAGCCTGCTGAGGATTCTCTCTCTCCCTCTTTCTCTGCTTCTCTGTCTCTCTTTCTCTCTCTCTCTCTCAAAAATTTAAAAAAAAAATTTTTTTAAAGAAAGAAGATTTTTCTGGTGAAGACATTAAAAATGAAGCCAGCCCCAAATGCTGAAAAGACAAATTTCTTTTATGTCTCACAATATTTATGGATGTTGGGGGGAGGGGGTGAAAGAATTTAAGTAAGATCCAAAAAAGAATTCCCAATCAAGGATTTGTATAAAAATAAATCCCCGAATGGAGTAGAATAATAGAAGATTTATTAGAAATGATGTGGATAAGTCACACACGCATTAATGAGGTTGGAGCAAGTCAGCCAAATGTTACTTGCTGAAGCTCTTGAGAAAAATAATTAGAAGCTTGATTAAAATGTTTAGGAGGAAATAAAAGATATAAAAAGGACTGAAGGGCAGTACTTGCCAGGGGCAGGGGAAGGAGGCAATGGATACAGGGTTTCTTTGAGGGTGAGGGAAATATTCTGGAATTATCATGGTGATGATTGTACAACTTTGGGAATATTCTACAAGCCACTATAAAAGGGTGAATTTTATGGTATGTGAATTATATTTCAATTTAAGAAAAGAAACTTGAGAGAGAAATGAAGGATACAGATTTATATGAACATGTTTATTCATGACATAAGATACATGAACACCCATCATAAATGGAATATGTGTATTTGACCACTTCCTACTTAGAAATTGCAGAAGACAAGTTCTCAGTGTAGCTAGTTAGTTCCACTGGTTAGAAGGCCATGCTAAGAAAGTTAAGCTTATCACTTTGTTCTCTGTCTAAACCAGCCAATTTTTTTTTTTCAGTCACAGACCGCACTTCTAATGTTGATTAGCTATCTTGTAAATTCATGCAATTGTTACAGGGAATCCTAGTGGCAGAATATGGATGGATATTCAATGCAAATTCATCACTACGGCGGCTGGAAAAACAGCTCATGCTCTACTGAGAGCAGATCAACAGAATCATCTTTCACACAGAGAATTCTGAATCAGTATTTTAGTTATACTATAATGAAGACTCATTCATTAGTTCCTCAAAATGCCAGAGAGAATGCTCTAGAGAGCTAGGAGAAGGAAAAATAATCCTTCAAAAAAATATATCTGTGAGTGGGTATGCTTATGAAACTATGAGGGAATAGTAATTGAAGGGTTAAAGGAGACCTTAACGCTTAATTTGTGCGATGAAAAAAGTACAAGGAACCATGCTTAACCCCTTACTTTCAAATTACTTACAAGAAGCAATGTCTAAACTGAATTTAAAGTGAAATAATCATTCGGGGAAAAGCAAAATAATTATGTTTTAGTTAGTGGAAATTCTGAACACAGTTACTATGTGACAGAAAACTTCCTCTTCAGGGGTCTCTCACAGGGCTGGGAGAGACATTTTACCTACTCATTTATCTCAAGTAGGTATTTAGAAATTCTGTTGTCTTCCCAAGTTGACTGAGGTTGCTTCCAGACTGCATCATATTTTATTCTCCTTTGTATCCAAATCCCTTGACATATAGCTTAGCTCATAGGAAGTGTTCAATAAAAGTTTCAGAATTAATGAAATGTATTCCATATGAAAATCAAGATGAATTTTTTCAAGGTCTTTTATAGTATCTGCAGAGATCTTAAACAGTAGCCCTTTTTCACATCAGCCACAGAGCTTTCTTGCACTGTTATACGGTTCAGCAGCTACCTAATCTTTTTACTCTGCCTGAACAAATACTTATTTTACATAAAAGCTTACACTATTCTGGCTACTTCTAAAACTTAATGGAAATATTGCAAATAAACAAATACTATCCTGAGGTTCAGACATTCAAGATTTAGAGTGCTTTTGGCAGGTAAGAATCAGTTCCTTTATCCAAGTTCGATAAGGTTTCCAAGGGCAGACACAACGTACCACTGATCTTGGTCCCACTAGGGATTCCATTCCTTTTTGGGGGCCAAATCCAGAACTCGATTTTGTTTTGGACTATTATGCTAATAAGTCTTCTGCCATTCCTGATTAGCAAGAGTGTCCTCAGACACTTGACCGCTGACCAGCCACTGGGCTCCTCATTCTTAGTTCTGTCCACAAACCTTGTTCTTGTCATCTTTCTAATCCCCATGAAGCCCTGAAGACCGTATTTCTCTGATCTAATGATCCTCATGTAATCCACACAGCACAGGGCAGTGAAAGTGCTGAAAACTGTCCCTACCCCAACCCACTTCCAGGCCACTGGTATCCTCTGTAGTTCAGAGCCGTGCTGGCACATATTTCTAGAGGAAACCATGAAAAGTGGCAGAAGCAGCACAGATGGATCCATTATGGATCTTCAGATCCCTGAGTTGCCATCAGCCAACCATGCCATACTATTTGGTATATAAGATCCTCAAGGGTACCACAATGTTATGGTTGCTAAAACCTGTGATAAGGGATTCAACCCACAATTAAATGAGTTCTTAGGTGCACCTGAGTGGCTCAGTTGGTTGAGAGTCCAACTCTTGATTTCAGTTCAGGTCATGATCCCAGGGTTGTGGGATCGAGCCCCACATCCAGTTCTACACTGAGCATGGAGCCTGCTTAAGATTCTCCCTCTCTCCCTCGCTCTCCCTCTGCTTTTCCCCTGTTCACGAGTGCTCTCTCTCTCTCTGTCTCTCTCTGTCTCTCAAATTAAAAAATAAAATAAGATCATTTAAAAATTAAAGGGCACCTGAGTGTCCCAGTCGTTTAAGCATCCAACTCTTGATTTTGGCTCAGGTCCTGATCTCATGGTTCTTGAGTTCGAGCTCTGTGCTGGGTCACACTGAGAGTGCAGAACCTGCTTGGGATTCTCTCTCCCTCTCCTTCTGCCACTCCCCTGCACTCACTCACTCACTCTCTCTCTCAAAAATAAGTAAATAAACATTTTTTTTAATTTTTAATTAAAAAAAATTTTAATGACTTCTGAGACAACATTCTTTATAGACAAATACCTATAATGATTCTCAAGTTTGATATTAATAGCTAAAGGAAACTTAATTTAATTGATCAATTTGCATATTGTTTTGATCTTGACACTAAAAAGAAATAAATCCTGTTGACTTTTTTTTAAGTTTTATTTTTATTTTTGAGACAGAGAGACAGAGTAGGAGTGGGAGCAGGGCAGAGAGAGAGGGGGACACGGAATCTGAACCAGGCTCCAGGCTCCAGGCTCCGAGCTGTCAGCACAGAGCCCAATGTGGGGCTCAAAGTCACAAACTGCCAGATCATGACCTGAGCCGAAGTCAGACGCTCAACCAACTGAGCCACCCAGGTGCCCCTGTTGACTTTTTTAAGTAGGCTCTACATGCAGCATGGAGCCCAACTTGGGGTTTGGACTGACAACCCTGAGATCAAGACCTGAGCTGAAATCAAAAGTCAGATGCTTAACCAACTAAGCCACCCAGGGGCCCTGTTTGTTGGCTTTTTAATTAATTAATTTACTTTTAACTTTTCTCCGTCTGTTTTCTACCCGGCTTTCAAAGCCTTTGGTGGACTAGCCAACAAATCTCACTCTCCACTGTCCTTCACCTGGCACCCCACTAGGGTCAAGCTACTATGTGCACTGTCCCATAACCATTCCAAGCACATGCCCGTGTGTTGGCCTTTGATCCTATGGCCACCATCCACAGAAACAGCGTACCTTCTTCCCGTCTCTCTCCCAGATTGTTTAAATCTCACATCATCCATGAACTGCTGCATCCATATTCCCTGACTGCTTCCTCTTTCTTTGGCCTTCCTAGCTTCCCAGTTTTGGTAGCAATTACAGGTTACACTTTTAAACTTAGCACTCAACTGTAAGCCACCTTACATGACCATTATCTCCCTAATTGGACTATAAGCTCCTAGAGGGCAGGACTCATGTGAAAATTGTATTGTGCCCCCAGCACAGTGCCGAGCCTATAGTCAGATCTCACGACTATCCCACAAGTCATTCAAGTTGTTGTAGAGCTGGAAGGGACCTTGGAGATCACTTGGTCCTACCCTTTATTTTGTGTAGGAGGAATCTGCCGCCCACAATTTATTCACTGACCTATCTGAAGATCAACTGTTGCTCATTAACTAATTAGCATTCACTGTAGCAACCAAATTGTAGTTTCCACCAGGATTTAGCACGTACAGGTTGCAAAGAAGAGCAGGTCAGGCAAACACTTAAATAACATTCTGTTACGTGAGACACAGGAAACAAACCTACCTGCAGCTCCAACTGAGCAGGCAGCATTAGAGGAGAGAAAAATAGTTACATTACCAATTGGATTGGAAGACTTCCCTTCAGTTGGTCATTACCAACCTGGATAGAAAAGATGAAAAAATACATAGCCCTACTTTTTAGAATGTGTGAAAGGAAAAAAAACAAAAGCTCAACTAAGACTGACCTCCAGAAGCCACATGCACATGGCTTTGGCTTTGACACAAGGAACCCTGTACCTAAACCAGTTACCCAACTCACTGAAGAATGCAAGTATGGTTATAACCACACTACGCTTGTACAACCACAACTTCACTACACGTGTGGGCTTTGAGGTTGGTTTTTTTCCTTCAAAAAAAATTAAATCTGGTAAGCATTTCTCTGAACTCAGTAAAAATTCAGAATGGCCAAAGCAGAAAAGACAGTAATTGAGCAGGAGAGTAAAACGAAGATTGAGAAATAATGTAGAATGACAGATGGGAAGGTATTAATTCACAGCTTTTTGCCTTTCTGGTCTATGTTTATGTATGTTTACATGTCCTTTTGAAAGAATATACATGGAGCCAAGAGTGTTATGTGTTTCCATCACAGGACCCTTAAAAAGGATGTTTGAATACTATTACACAGCTGAAAGTGTTTAAATGTACTTTTACATGAAGGCATGGACTGAACTATTTTTCAAGGTCCCTTCTAGCCCATAGGCAAATGAGAAGTCCAAAAGAAACATAAGCTAAAACAATCACCTATCTAGAAATTGTGAAGCCTGAGAAGTTACACAGAAAAACCCCTCTTTCTATCCACATATAAAGTACAATAAAAGTATATACCCTGCTGCCACAGACAGGGGTATAAGTAATTGTCTTCTGGATGTAAATTGGTCAGCATATGCACTTATCCTGCTCTCCACATGCATCCCCTGCAGCAACTAACTCAGACTCTGAGGCTATCTGTGAAATAAGACTAACACGCATCTGATCTGGAAGCCAAGGAGGTCCCGTGGCCACATGGTCTAAAGTCAAGACGCAGGCCACAGAAGTGAGGCACTGACCAACTCTGAACCTGGAGCTTAAACTTCAAGCTGTCCTGGGTGTGTAAAGCGTACCTGCCATATCAACTCGGCCACGGGTCCCTTGGCGTTGACGAGTAATGACATTTGCCAGTCTCCCCTTGGAAACTGTAGACAACCAAGTTCATTTACCCAGAATTAACCTGAGAGCTCTCATTCGTCACAGATCAGCCTCGCTGTAAATCACAGATACAGCTTCGCTGTAAATCATTATTATAATTAAGTGGACTTATTTCCCCATTTCCAATCTGTGAGTTTAGGGATCCAGAGCATGATCCTATTTGAACTATTCTTGTCCCGAAGCTGCCAAAAGCCAGGCTTCTGTGTCATTACTAAACTGATGGGATCTAGGACCAGCCATTCCAGCCCGTCACAGGACACAAAGACATTGAGAAGTAGTGAATACGTTCTTCTGAAATAAGGGAATCAAGCATGTGGTAGGTTAGATGCAGGATTTCGAAGTGGACGGTGAATAATAAGTCAGGAAACGTGGCGCCTCGAAAGCCAGCTGACTGGAGAAAGGGCAGCACCTCATCAGGGAGGAGCCGCGCTCCCCACTTACTCGGATACGCTTGGCTCTGCGCATGTCATCGGCCGTCAGAGTGCTCTGGGCGGGCAACGCGCTCTCCTCATGCTGGGGCTGCAGGTGCAGGCTGTGAGTCTCTGGCTCATGCTCCAGAGAAGGCTGGGTGTCCTGTGGCAGCTGTGGGATGGGGAGAGCAGTCTGCTCTGGTTGATCCAGCCCGTTCAGAGTCGCTGGCTCAGCCTCATCAAACTGCTCCTTGGTGGAAAAATGTAGCAAGTCCTGAAATTGCAATAACCAGGAATTATTTCCCCACCTAGGTAGAGACTCGTGCTACAGAGATTGTCAGCTAAGATTCAGAGTTCCTGCATGATTTTTTAAAAGGCTAGAGTCATGATACCCAGAAAAAAAAAAAAAAATTCTCCT